TCTATTTAGATATCTGAATCTGAATTACAGTTTATCACACTGCACTTGACCCACCTGGGATTTTTATTTATTTTAACTTTCAACCTGTGAAATATGGATGTTTCACGGATAATAAACGCTTATCGGGCTATTGGACCTCTCCAGAAATAAGGTCTTCAGAAAGTTGGGGAGGTCTACATAAAAGTTGGGGGTCGTGACCCCCGACCCCTCAGTGGTTGCACCCATGCATTGAGTCATTTAACACGTTTGCTATTTTGTGTATCTTCGGCGTCAGAAAAGGGGCAGCACCGCATTAAAGAAGTATTCATAAGATTTCACAACATTGAAACCGTTCCTTTGTCATTCGGTGATCCGAGGTCATAGTAACAAAACGGATGCAACGTGAAGCGCTTAGGTCACACGATACGTTGTTAGCGGATACAATAGAAAACCTGAATAAACATGGCTTTAAGCCCAGCACCAGCGAAACAAATGTAATAACATGGAAGCAGTGTTTTCCGGTCACCTAATGACAACAAATTAGCTACGAGTCAATCCCGCAACAATGGCAAACGTGAAACAAGATGAACAGAAGTCAATTACGCACAAAGAGACAGTCAGTCAGACAGACAGACAGACAGACAGACAGACAGACAGACAGACAGACAGACAGACAGACAGACAGACAGACAGACAGACAGACAGACAGACAGACAGACAAACAGACAGACAGACAGTCAAACAGACAATTAATTTTAGCAGGCAGACAGACAGGCAAAAAAAGTAGGCAGAGAATTAAGAAACTGGTTATTGGGCTGCGCTTTCTATGGGATCAATGCTGCGCCGCCATTGTCAGCGTGGCGGATTTGGTTTCCGCAGCAAAAGTGTCATGGTGGCGCCTCAGCCTCACAACATGACTCGACAATTAGAAAATACAGTACAAAACACGACTAAAAACTCGGTGATCTATTGGATATTGCAGATAGTTCGTAATGAAGATACAGATTAAGCAGTATATAAAATTAAACAGTTATAAATTTCAGACCATCGAGCTCACTTCTTGCATGGGTTAATTCTAGTCTTCCGCGAACAAAGGATTTGGTTGGTTAACAAAATACCCGCTTGTCAAATTCTCAAGCAGGCAATTGTGTCTGCGCATCGTGCTCGTTATCCTTTTGTACGAAGCTAGGAAGTATTGAACAAATTTTGAGGGAATGAAGGAAGGCGGGAAAAGAAGGAGCGGGATAGGGTGGGCGGGATAGGGAGGGAGGGATGGAGGGGAAGGAAGGCTGAGAGGGAGGGGGATGGAGGGAGGGATGGAGGGGAAGGGAGGCTGAGAGGGAGGGGGAGGGATGGAGGGAAAGGGAGGCTGAGAGGTAGGGGGAGGGAGGGAGGGAGGGAGGCGGAGGAATGTTTGGCGGAACGGAGAGAGGGAGGATGAATATTTGGCTGGGCGGACGATCGGACAGACGGACAGAGAACGGACGGATGAATGGTTGGTGGGCGAGTGGCTGATTGTAGGCCCCTATGTGAGAGCATGTGGGTGGGTAGGTTGTTGGATTGGTAGTTATGGGAGCGTATGGGTGAGAGGATGGGTGCGTAAGTGGGTAGGTGAGTGCGTGAATGAATGAATTTACAAGTTGACAATGATGGAACACCACACCAACTTGCAGAACGAAGAAATATCTTATACTGTGGTTTTCATCGTGTAAGATAAACGTGTATTATATTGATTCCGTCTAATACACGTTGCATATAGCAGAAACGATGTTCATAATTAAAAAAATAATTCCTTGTAAATTTTTTAGTTTATGTTATAAATTCTACTGTTGTTTTTCGTCAATTGCATCATGATTATGTCTGTGTTCAGATATTGCGTCGTCTGCTAACATGTTTTTGTAGCTTAACTTCCGTGCATGTTTTTTTTTTGATAATGCTGCTACCCACTCCAGTTCTTCATGCATATAACCTTTATATTTTATGAACAACCCAATAATTAATAAGCCATAATCAAGTTAAATGTTTATGTATAAAACCTTTTAATCATGTGATGGGTTCATCTGTCTAACGTTATGAGTGTTTCCACATCTCGTGCTTTTTCGGATTTGAATGTTGAAAATTGATTCTTCTGTAGTGCTATCTGGCTTTAGTATGTATCGTATGAAGTATCAAATGCTGTACATTGTTAGCTATATCGTTGCAGTCGTTCGTTTGGCCCAGCGTAAAAAGACGTTTATAAATTACAGTATGCTTTATAGCACTACACGCTGCAAATATTTTACGTCGGTTTCATTTCTAGTTTACAACATCTTTTATATGATTTGAAAATAAATCCGAGTTTGGGCAAAGATAAGATCTACTTATCAGCCATTCGTCGTATATCATAATGACACGGAAAGTAGAATACAAAGTGTATCTATGGCTGTTTTCAGTTTTTACGTGTCGTCGAAATGGCACATTACCCACCATCGATTTTCGCAACACAAATGTGAAACAATCTGACTAAATGCTTTACGAATTTGTTTCAAAATATTCATCACGATGTTCAATCAATAATGAAGTCTTGACTCGATCGTGTTACTGATATCAATCAAACTCACTCACTAGATGGTCTCTCTGTTTGTAATGAACCTAAGACCTTGTAGAGAAACCTCCTAACGACAATAGTGAAATTCGACCAAACCGGTTACATAAGAATACTCTAGCAGCAGTATTAGATATAATGATATTATGTCGCGAGTGCGAAAATCCGATACATGATCGGAAAATAATAATAGTTGTTCGAATGTTTTTTGTGTGTTCTTATTGTTCATTTAAGGGCATTTTCCTTATATGCTGTAACCTTAGACTCAGCAGACGTCAATTACTGAAGGTAAATTATCGTCTCGGGTTCTCGTTTTCCAAAAATTAAGCGACATTATGTATTTTATTTTTAATCACATATATATAGTTTGCAAGTTCAGTTGGGGGTAGAATGCTACCAAAATTTCTTCCGTGCATTTCCTGATTAATGAGACAAATTAATTATCGATACACAGCATTGTGATAGTTTGATTCCAGCTAGATTGATTCCAGCGTCCGTGCGGCTGTTCTCAGCATGCAACGACAGTTTGCTTCAGCATCGACTATAAACTCAGTCCAATGGTTGGCTGAGATCTGTGGCATAATCACCTTTCAACTATAGTTATCACCGCTTTGTCTGTTCTTAAGAGCTATCGGCTAACGCGAATTGTATCGATATCGATGAGACCGACACCTCTACACATTTCTATTTTTCTATATAAGTATCCTACACTCGCGTGCGCCCATAGATGCACTATAACGTAATGGTAGCCACAGATTGGCGAAGTGTTTGTATATTGGTTGATACGATGAGAATTTTTCGTGAAATATCGTTGCCTGCAGCTGCCTTTTATCGTGCTTTATCGTCTTATAGCTCATGCACATGCACCGGCTTGATTAATGTTCCCGCGAGAAGTGTCTTCGCGCGTTATCCACAACTTTCAGGCAGCAAAAACAAGCTTCGCTCACCATCCCACGACGCGCGCTGTTATTTTGCCATTTTCCTGTTTCCATGGCAACCGAAATTTCATTTCGCCGCCGATGTGAAAGAAGTGGGGATGATAATTCTGCTTAAAGGGACGCAGTCTCGTTGCGATAGAAGACATCTCATGGACATGTTTTATATTAAAGAATCAACGTATTTCTAACTTTCTCACTTACTTTCTGTCACGTTTTTCTGGCTCGTTTATCGGTTAATGTCATACATTCAATCTCCGCTCTACTACTTCATACGAGACCGTTATTGTTGGAGTCGTGACAGGCCAATGAACAACCGCCACTAAATGATAAAAAAGCGACGTACAGTACAAGACATGAAAATTAAATGCCTTTTACAATGTCTTTAAATTCAAATGTTTTAGGGAGGAACGAGAGTGAATGCATCTATAGCGAGCGCCGGAATTGCTTGTATGTATAATCATTACATGGCGATGATTACTCACGACAAGAATTCCCCTTAAAATCATTCATGCCCTTCCCCTTAATATGATACCCGAGGTAAGGTTCATGTATCTTTACCGCAATGTTTAATTAAATCAGGCAGCATGCATGGGGTTGATCCACGGTTTCAGCAACTATCCCATCTCTCGGCGGTACGCAGTAATTACTTGTATTCTTAAGGGCAACATAGCATCCTCACGCCAGCTATCGTCGAATAGGTTACCATCCTAGTAGGTCATAACTACTGGACTCTAAATACAACAATCAACATTATATGACACAATAACAGGATCCTGCATAAAGCTATATTATAATATGACAAAGATAGTAAATGTATATAAATAATTTATGTTATTCGATTTACATAATGGTTACAGCTTTGTTGTGTTATACTGTGAGGGTATTACTAATTTAGAATGATCGATCGATGGAGGCATTGCTGGTTAGATATTATTCGTTCTGACTAGAGAGTATATTCTTATTTATAAAATATATCAAATGTAATACAACCATCAGAATTCTTAAAGTATATTTTTGTCAGGTTCACCTTAGGTGGTGCTTACGCAATAGTTGAATCATGTGACTCATGTCTGTCGTGCTGATGCGTCATCACGCTGATCGTGTGAATATTAAATATGACAATTTGAAAGGGCACTGACATTGCTTCTGTCACAAGCTATTAAACCAGCTCCCAATATATATTGCTTAGTTCAAATATGTCCTCTCTTTGTTTTAGTAACCGCATTACCTACATCCAGGAGATTCCTCTCTGACGTTTACAGTATGGGGGTAAACGTGGTAGAGTAAAACCTAAACATTAATTCAAGTTATTGGTTGGCGTTACACAAGATTGATGCTGGGCACGTTTGTTCTCTCACAAAGTCTTGCATATATTAGCCTAGGCTGTGTGATACCTCATAGTATTTCTGCCTCTTTTGCAGGAATACGGCCCCACACTCGCCGGCAAGCTGACGCCATGGGGGTCTAGCAGTCCTTGGTGTGTTGCGTCAAGGCTGCAAGCAAGAGCAGCCGGCATGGATGCAGAAAATCGCGTTATTATCAACGTCGGCGGCATTCGCCACGAGACTTACAAGGCGACACTGAAAAAGATTCCGGCAACACGACTTTCTCGCCTCACAGAAGCGTTGGCGAACTATGACCCGGTTCTCAACGAGTACTTCTTCGACCGCCACCCGGGCGTCTTCTCCCAGGTGCTCAACTACTACCGCTCGGGGAAACTGCACTACCCGACCGACGTGTGCGGGCCGCTGTTCGAGGAGGAGCTCGAGTTCTGGGGCCTCGACGCCAACCAGGTGGAGCCCTGCTGCTGGATGACGTACACGCAGCATCGCGACACGCAGCAGACGCTTGCAGTGCTCGACCGGCTCGACCTTGACACGGAGAAGCCCAGCGATGAGGACGTCGCCCGCAAGTTCGGTATCGAGGAGGAGTACTTTTCCGGCAACATTCCCTTCTGGAAACGACTGCAGCCGAAGATATGGGCGCTCTTCGATGAGCCGTACTCATCAAAAGCTGCTAAGGTAAGTCGCGCAGCACGAGCTTGCGACGAATGTGTCAGCCCGTATAGTGTTCGTGACGGATTTGCATGTGACGACCGAGTTATGTACTCTGTGCAAATCAATGCCCGTGTAATAGCCGGCCTTGATTAAAATTTGTGCACGGCCGCCGACGAAATAGTCCTACTTGCGAGTGCATGGCTGGGAGGAATTGCATAGGCTGATCTTCCCAGAAGCAATTGAGCGCCAATCGATGGCGAGATTTTAACGGGGTGAATCACGCTAAGGGAGCGCCGCAGCGCATTGAAACTGGTCATCAGCCCGACTGTAGTCGCCGCGTGACCCCTTGCTGGCAGAAACTGACATTATCAATGCAAGTCGCATTCCTCCTCCCAGCTTATACCATCAATGTAGCGCCTTGTAGACAACGGCACGGTTCTACTCGTGCTTATTCTACAGCCATATACGAAACCCTTATTCGAAGTTGAAATTCTGAGCAGCCTACAGTTTTCTACTGCTGATTTACGCCTTTCGTGGAATCTCCGTGTACGAAATAAAAGAGGTTTTAGAGCAAAATGTGCGTGGCATGTATCACGTATTAATTCCCCTTGGATCTGCGATTGATCACGTCGCAAAATATTGTGACCAGAATACAATTAATACCGAGTATAAATTACATTTAAATCATAGCGGGGATGTCAACAATCCATGTAATGAAAGTACAACGCTCAAAAATATAGCCTTTGAAACAGACTAACGGCGTTTCTGATGCATAACGGCCTTCCCTATTACCGCTTACAACGTATAACTGCAGCCTATCTCGGGGCTGCGGCTGTATGAATAGCGGCAGAGCGCGAGGTAAACGAGAGCAGAGACTGTAGCGGCGGATGGCGCAGCGGCCATGCATTCAGGTAAAATGTATAGCTAGTCCTCTGTATCCGCTCGTCACATCGCGTGCACATATCGATCTGGCGGCGTTATGCGCTGTGTATATCGTGTTGGCGTGCCGGCCTTTTAGAGCAACATGAAATCCCCCCTTTGATTGACGGAGATTTTTAATATAATAGAGGATTTTTAATTGCGGTAAATGTTAACTAATGATAAAACATTCAACCAATGTCATATCGACGTCCTGACGTGTGTAATCTCCTGCATAAATGGCCGGATCTGTCTGTCTGTCTGTCTATCTGTCTGTCTGGCCGTCCGTCTATCTTCTCGAGACGCGTAATAGGTGACTCCCAACACTATGATTATATATTCTGAATCAGCATGACGCGACGACCATTTTAGGCCAAACAAATTTGCAAAAAAAGGGAAAAATAAGGGGAAAAAAGAGAAAAAGAGATTTCTCTTTTTTTGGAACTCCACTTTTTCCGTCCATTTTGTAGGTAAATATGAATTTTGCCCACTTTTTGGCTGAAAGTTTGGCAAGAGTGCAAGCTCATCATCTGGGACGAGGCAACCATGAGTCACAAGGCGCCTCTGAAGCACTTGACAAGACCCTACAAGACCTTCGGCACAACACAAACGTCATGGGAGCACACATGTGACTGTCCTGCTCTCAGGCGACTTTCGCCAAATCTTGCCAGTCATCGCCAAAGGAACAAGAGCAGATGCTGTCAATGCCTGCATCAAGTCGTCCTACCTCTGGAGCAAGGTCAACCGCCACAGCCTGAAGACCAACATGAGGGCGCAGCTCATCGGCGATGAAGAAGCTGGCCGCTTCTCTCAGCAACTGCTGGAGGTCGGCAATTGCAGACTCACCACCACAGCTAATGGCCAAGTCAAGCTGCCATTCGGCAAAGCAGCGGCGGACATCACCCAGCTCATGAACAAAGTCTTCCCAAACCTCCACCTCCGCTACCAAGACCAAGACTGGCTGAGCGAGCGAGCCATCCTTGCTCCCAAAAATTTGGCCGTGGATGACATCAACGCCAAGCTGCTGGAGCAACTGCCTGGCGACCCAACGAGCTATACAAGTCAATGGACACAGTTCCTGATCCTGACCAGGTGGTGCTCTATCCGACCGAGTTTCTAAACAGCCTGGCGCCCTCAGGTCTGCCACCACACAACTTGGTGCTCAAGGTCGGCGCGCCCATATTGCTAATGCGCAACCTGGATGCTTCCAAGCTCTGCAACGGCACAAGGCTCACAGTGAAGCAGCTCATGCCCAGAGTCATCAAAGCCAAAATCATGACAGGCAAGGGCAAGGGCAAAAATGTCTTCATCCCAAGGATCCCGCTCATCCCATCAGATTTGCCATTTGAGTTCAAAAGGCTGCAGTTTCCAGTCAAGCTGAGCTTTGCCATTTCCATCAGCAAGGCCCAGGGCCAGTCCCTCAAGGTGGTTGGACTCAACCTCAGTGAGCCAGTGTTCTCCCATGGCCAGCTCTATGTTATGTGGGGTGCTCCAGGGTGGGTAACCCAGACAACCTCTACATCCTCTCTCAAGATGGCAAGACCAAGAATGTTGTGTACCAAAAAGCGCTGCAGAACTGAACACAAGTGAAATTCTTGGGACAGATTTATAAAATGCGAATAAGATCAGTACAACCGTGATAGCAGACTAAATTCTAGCTCTTTTCTCCTTTATCCCGGGCATCGCCGGGTAGCCCAGCTAGTGAGAAATAAAGCTAATAAAATATTAAGATTTTTTGCCTTTCACAAAAAAACAACAGCGGAGCTATTTTGCGCGTATTTTACGCGTCACTAGCGAGAGAAGCCGTAGCTCCAACAATAAGTGGGGCTATTCGCGTGGTTTCAGTGAGCTACTATGTAGCTGTGACGCCAGAATGATTTAGAAATGTTTATTATGCGTCGTCTGGAATGCATAGTTATTTACCATAACTTATGAAAGGATGCAGTCGATATTTTTAAATAATGTATACCTACATCTATCAATGCGCGTATACATCGCAAAAACGCTGGATTGCACAAGCTCTTGCTCGTTATCAGCATGAAAATATTAATGAATTGATGAGCTGAGTACACAATTACATAATCATGGTTCGCAAACAGCAAACTTATCATCGTGAGCGCGGAAAAATTGGCTACATAAAGCATATTCGAAAAAAAGGTTGTTATTTGCTAATATATGTACTATATATATGTCGCGTATTCTGGTAGCCAATCAGCGAAATCGGGTTCACAGAGCTCGTATATATGCATTACTACATAAGACGAGTAGGGGGCTGTGGCCGAGATAAGTTTTTAGAGGAAAATTTTCATAACCTGCTGTACATAAATAGGGCAAAACAGTGAGTTGTTGACGAGTACGCGTTAACAAGTGAATAAGTGATATCGATTAATGGATAATAATCGTAATTCCATCGTGGCGATCGTGGCATTCTTATTCGATTCCTTTCGATTTCTCATAAATGGCAAACTAGAGGTTATTAGTCTACAATTACAAAATTGTCAAATCAGTCACAGTCAGCGCCAGATTCACGTGTAGGACTGAGATGGACAAGCCAATATCATCTTTAATAATACTGACTTTGTGAGCCATGGAATGCGTACAGTACCCATTGTGTAGGGCGTAATTATATATAAATTATTTCTATGATCACTTCACAGGATCATGATTTTGGCATTGTGTGTATGCGTGCATGTGTCTTCACATGCTATCGCGCAGGTGGATACATATTCTAACATGTCGTATGTTTGTAGATCGTCGCTGGAATGTCAGTTTTCTTCATCGTCATCTCGATACTGTCGTTCTGCTTGAAGACGCATCCACACATGCGGGTACCGCACATTCGCAACGTCACCGTTCACATCTCGCCCAACATAACCACGTGGACATTAGATAAGGAGAGGACGGAAGCACACGGAGCATTTTTCTACATCGAGTGTGTGTGCAACGCCTGGTTCACGTTTGAATTCATCATCCGGTTTATCGTGAGCCCCAACAAGTTCGATTTCTTACGAGCCCCGGTGAACATTATTGATTTCGTTGCTACGATGTCGTTTTATATAGACTATATGTTAGGTAAGTTAAATTTCAACAACGCGGATATCCTTGAGTTCTTCAGCATAATACGTATCCTGAGACTGTTCAAGCTAACGAGGCATTCACCTGGTCTCAAGATTCTCATCCACACGTTCAAAGCCAGCGCCAAGGAACTGACGCTCCTGATATTCTTCTTGGTTCTCGGCATAGTGATATTTGCCAGCTTAGTGTACTATGCAGAGCGAATACAGGACAACCCACAAAACGACTTCACGAGCATTCCCGTTGGGTTATGGTGGGCAATTGTCACCATGACCACTGTCGGCTACGGTGATATGGTGCCGAAGACATATGTTGGTATGTTTGTGGGCGCCCTCTGTGCGCTGGCTGGTGTACTGACGATAGCGTTACCCGTGCCCGTCATCGTTAGCAATTTCGCCATGGTCTACTCGCACTCTCAAGCTCGGGCCCGGCTGCCAAAGAAACGCCGGCGCGTATTGCCCGTAGAGGCTCTGCGTGCTGGACCTCCGATCCCTTCACACGGCAAAGGCCCCGGTGGTACTGGCCCGCCCGTCAACCGTCGCATGAATGCCATCAAACACCAAAACCACCCGATCAAGGACAGGGACAACAACATTAATAAAATAGGTATGTAGGACTTGATTCTACCATGAATAATGTATACGTGTGTGTGCGTGTGTGCGCGCGCGCGCGTGTGTGTGGGAGGGGGTGAGAGAGAGGGCATACGTGCGAGAGGGTGCATGTGTAGTTTTGCTTTAGGGTACCACAAAGTCGTTTAAATGTATCCGTAGAAAGGTGTCTGCTGTAATATTGCGAAACTGGACATACAAGGCACGGTGGTGGTACATCAAAAGCAGAACTATCTCATTTGCTCTAATTTTTTATTTATATTATATTAATCACATGTTTATTAAATTGAGAGCGAGAGAGAGCGCGCGCGAGAGAGAGAACGAAAGAGAAAGAGAAGTCGTAAGAATCTTGATGTTGTTTGTCTGAACTATTATGTGCTTGCATTATATATAACCGTGGCTTTTAACCGTACCCTATCCTTCTCTGCCATTGATGAAACGTATTGCTAGCCAGTCCGAGAGAATTGGGTTTATTGTAGGGTTTCGTCACGTCAACTAACTCTTTCAGTCTGTGTGTTTTTTACGTTGTTAGTGCAAGCCGTCTGATGCTAGCCAGCAATCCTGGTTGTCTATTTTCTCAACGCTGTGCAATATTTAAAACGTGCAGTACCACACGTTACTCTATTGCCATTACGGTATTTATTATAGTATCACTATGCTTGGTATCACATGAACAGAGATTTTCTATTCGTGTAGACTCGATTATGATGTGTCTTCCGTTATAATTAATAAAGTGATAGGCGGTACGGTTATCCACAGTGGCGTAGACAGGTCTTCAGTTGTGGGGGGGGATGATTTCGCTGTTACTTCCATCACAATGTATATGAAGAGTGTGCGCGAGTAGCGCACACCGCGAGCGCCTTGGCGCAAAGGCCTTAATGGGTGGGGTCCAGGGGGCGGAGCCCCCGGAAGCTCTTAGATTTTAGCAATTTAGAACCTTCAAGATGGCCGTTTTTGAGGGAATTGAAAAAAATTGATATTGTAAGTGCAATTTTGTGAATTCTAGGGTAATTTTTTTCTTTGGATCCCAGAGGTTTAATAACACGCAACCCCCCCCCCCCCCCACACACACAACCAGTGGCGGATCCAGAAGAAAATTCTAGGGGGGGGGCGAATCACGCGAGCTCAAGGGCACGAAGCGCCGGGGGGGAGGGGGGGGGGGTGTCCCCCTCCCACTGTGTGGAATTGTTAAAAAGTTGCAATCTAAAAGCAATCAATTTTGGACATCTTTATCATAGAATATCAGGATTTTTCCTCCAGGTCGTGTCCCCCTCCTGTTTAGGGGGGTCCGGGGATTTTGTTGAAAGTAACACCTCGTCGATGCAATTTCCTGCACTATGAGGCAGCACTATTAAACAATGCAATCTTCATCGCAATAACATCACTGTTGAGTTGAGTATTTTTACCCTTGGGGACACCAAAGACTAAAATACTTACTACCAAATCTGTGCTATGTACATGTCCTCACTGGGGTTACCAGTGCAGACTTACCTAGGCTAAAATACATTTGCCCTGAAAATTCTAGGGGGGGGGGCGACAGCCCCGTGCTACCGACCCCCCGTTGACAATTACAGCACTGGAATCATCTCCCCCTGAAATTTTGATAAAACGTATATTTTACTGAGAACGTTAAAACTGCAAAGAAATATGAGAAAAATAACCAGATTTGAACCAAAAAGTGCATATTTTCACCCCTTATACAAAATCGGGAATATGCTTCCGGTCGGGTCTCAGCACCCCCATCCCCCCAAAAAAAGTGAGATGAAATTGAATTTTCCCATTTAATCCCTGTGAAAATTCAATATCCCAACTCTCAATAGGTCTATTCTAATTTTGAATAAAGCAAGGATTTAACTTTCGTGAGCAGTGATAAGACTGGGGATTTTGAAAAAAAAATCGTATATGGGGAACCCGTCCAAAATTAACCGTCCTAGTTTCAGTAAAATAATGTAATTCTTGGAACGAGTTACAGCCATTTTACAGTAGATGTATGTCACGTTCCATTTCTGTAATAATACATTAGGAGAGTATGAATAGCGATGACGGATTTGTAGATAAATATCCAGTATTTATTGTCTGTAAAATATTAAATTTTTTCCCATTTTCTTCTTGAAAGTAGGGGGGATGAAAGCCACCCCACCTCAATAAGTGTGGGGGGATATACCCCCCCCCCCAGCTATCTACGCCCCTGTCTGATGAACTCAAATTTGACTTTTGATATGCATACAAATATTCATAATCATAATCTTTGTTAGCAGTACTCTACAGGCGCCGCGGAACGATTTTTGAAGTGGGGGGTGCTCAATTTTTTACGCTCGACAGTGGCCAATGCAGGTTTTCGAGGAGGGTGGTAAGAAACAGGCTATGCGGGTCCTCCCCCAGAAAATTTTGAATCTCCCATTTTCCTCCTGAAAGTAGGGGGGGGGATGATTGTACACGCCATCCCCCCCCCGTCAATAAGTGGGGGGATGCATCCCCCCATCCTCCCCGCTATCTACGCCTCTATCGCCAGTCCCTTGATCAGAGGACGATACACACACACGCTCGCGCGCACGAGCGCGCACCCGCACACGCACACGCGCACAACCATACGCACACGCATACACCCGAACTAACAAACAATCAAACACATACACACACACACACACACACACACACACACACACACACACACACACACACACACACACACACACACACACACACACATTATATGTGTGGTGAGAGTGTGTGTGTGTGTGTGTGTGTGTGTGTGTGTGTGTGTGTGTGTGTGTGTGTGTGTGTGTGCGTGCGTGCGTGCGTGCGTGCGTGCGTGTGTGTGTGCCTGTGTGTTTGTGTGCGTTTGTGTGTGTTTGCGTACGTGCGTGCCTGCGTGTGTATGGCTGTGTGTATGTGTGTGTGTG